ATATATATATATATATATATATAAGTCAAAGGCATTATTAAAGATTGCCGGAAATGAATAAAAGGTATTCATTCTATTGGTATTTTGGTGTGAGGTGGTAAAAGAGAAATTGAAATTCCATGGGGACTTGAGAAGAGAGGACGCAACGGTGTGTTTTCTTCTCAACTTGCGGCACTAGCACTTAATTAAAATTGGCCACAACCACAAGACAATGCGATAAAAAAAAAAGAGACAAATACTCCTTAAAAAGTGTATGAGTCATGATTTCTATCACTTACTCTTAATTAATAACTCTTTTAGTTAAATAACTATACTAGCAAAAAAGTATTAATTAAGAATAAAAAGTAAAAATCCAGACTCATGCACTCTTAAAGATAAAGTCGCAATTTTCTCTGCTATAAAAGATCATGTATGATGTTTAAACACTACCTAAGTCTTAAGCTGTCCATTTAAACACTACCTAAGTCTTAAGCTGTCCATTAATTATTGATTTCGTCAATTTATTTTTATGATATTAGGGATTAAGGATATCACACGTTGTCGAGAAAATCTCACATATTTTATATTATGTACCTAAGAAAAACTTGATTACTTTTTTAATCTATCCAAGTTATGTTTTGAAATTACATTTATTTGCACCCTCTTTAGAAGAAAGTTCAGATTAATAATACTTAACGCAAAATACTAACTTCAAAAATGTTATTCTCTACAAAAGAAATAAATAATAAAAAAAAAACAGTTTTTAGTTGAACTTCTAGATTTTTTTAACCCGGCCTCAATTCAAGAAAAGTAATACTGATAGGCTTTGTCTATGTGTGATTTTGTCATCGCAATAGACTGACCAATTCAAGATAACAACTTGTTCTTGAGATTAAACTTAAAACAATAATCAAGTGACGCAGGCTTAAGCCTGCAGCCTCAACTATTTAAATTAAAAAAATACAACTTAAAACAATAATCAAGTGACGCAGGCTTAAGCCTGCAGCCTCAACTATTTAAATTAAAAAAATACAAATCTTTGACTGACAACTGTCGTTAGTCTCTTTCTTTGAACCTCATTGGTGATAAGAGAGTACAATTTCGCAAGATCAACTCCAGAAATATTGGCATTCACTATTATATATAGGCCAAGGCACTTGTATTTTCTTTTTAAAAAGTGTATATATTTTTTTAAAACATGTATATATTATATATTTTATCATAAAAGGTACATATTTTAAGTGAAAATATACACATTTTAAAGAGAAAATATACATATTTTAAAGAAGAAATATACAAGTATCATTTAAGTCCGCTACTGAACCGGAGACAATTTCATTATATATATATTTATGGTATGATGTACGGTAGCCCATATTTATGAATATTAAATCTTATAAAATCACATCAAAATAATTAAAAAAACAACATAGTTGAAGAATCTATTACATACTTGACAGTAAAAAACAAGCACTAGTATTAGTTTTTTTCCCCGTCGTACAATAAAATTCTCATTAAAAGAATTGCAAGTTGGTTTTGCCATTCTAATCGAGTCCAATGAAGCTAAAACCCGGCTTGATCAAAATTATGATCAAATATTAGGAACTAAATATAATGGATGAACCTCCCAAAAAAGAAAAAGAAAAAGAAAAAAACCATTGGAGAAAATGTTTGTATATCTAGGGATCGTGAACAGGACAACGACCCTAATTAACTATTCTTATTATTATTGTGTCGAAACGTGTGACTAGACCACAGTTTTCAAAAGCTATCACACAAGCAAAGAGATGAGAGTTCTGTTTATCAAACCCTATGGACTGGAGATTATGACAGGACAAAAGGAAGTGGATTGGGACAAATATGTATCACACAATTATAATACTATTCAAATATAGGATTGAAAGTTGAAACTTCGAACGAGATGGAAGTTTAGAAAGTAATAGTATTGATATTGATATTGATGACATATACACAAAAATGCTTCATATTTTTTCCTTTTTTTTATACTCTCTTTTATTTATTTATTTAATATTCCCCCGAATTGCTTGTCAAACCTTCCAATTTAACGAAATTAGAACAAGGGTACGCTTAAGCTTCTAGATAATAGAGACAATAAGTCCATGATCCGCATTTGCAGTTTCATAATTTTTTTTACATTTTTATTTTTAATTTACTACCTCGTTTGGGAAATTTTTATCTATATATACAATAGCATATATAATGTATCAATGTATTCTGGACTTTTCAATCTTGAACTAATTCTCTATTGTTTGCAAATTGCATCCAATGCTCCAAAGTCCCGATCCACGTGCTTCAAAGGTAGAATCAAATAATAACGCTAACTAGAGCCAGAATCGGTCAAAGGGAAGAACAGAGCAAAACGACAATGGGACCTATTATCAATACGAGATTAGTTTTGTTTGTAGTCCCACAGCTCTTAATTTTCCATGCATAGCTCTTAATTTTCCATGCACATTTCATCAAACTAACGCATTAGAAAAACGAAAAAGAAGTCATGAATTTCTACTAAACAATATTAACTCAACAAAGATAGATTTCAAAGGGAAAAAAAAGAAGGAGAAAACTCATTTTCAACTAACCAAACAGAATATAAATTAAGTCATTATCCACCTAGCTTGAAAGTTGAAACCTGAAGATCACGAAATGTCCCATTACTGTTTTACTCTGCTACTTGCACCGTCCGTAGGCATCGTCTACCGAACCCGATTTGACAAGACGACGGAACATGACTAAAAACGACATCAAGTGAAGAAACGACAATGAAGTTATCCCAAGAAAAACGACATTAGCGGGAATAAGAGGACGGCATTTCCTAAAAAACGACATGAAGCTGAAACTAAAGAAAGGCAACAGTGATAGCATAAGAAGACAAACGTTAGCGTTGGCAAACGAAACATACAGTAAACACGACACCAAATAACAAAACGACATTGACCCACGACCGAAATATAACAGTAGCGTAAGAAGTTAGAAAACAACAACCACCCCATAGACAAAAACGACACCAAGTGGATAAACGACAAAAAAACTATAAATCCACGTTAAGCACCGAAACGACAGTAACCAAATGGAATATAGCATAAGAAAGCAACATTGACTGGAACGCGGTAATAGTATCGCTGAAAAAATTTGACGTAAAAACAATACGAGCTAAGATATAGGCAATAACCTACAGAATGACATTGACTTTAAAAGATCAAGAAACAACAGGAAACAAAATAAAAGAATAGCTTGACAACACGACACTGGCAGTTAAAAAAAACAAAGTAAAAAACGATAACGGATAAATGGCAGCAACATCTAAAACGATTTTCAAAGGAAAAAAGACATCAACATATTTAGTTAATAAAGGAACAATAGCCAAGAAAACGATCTTCTTTATAGAGAAATGATAAAGAACCCACAAGAACAAGTTGACGATGAAAAAGACATTTTCAAATAATAGCGTTACTAGCCATAGATGTTTAACAGAATTTCTAATCATCTTCAGGAAAAGGAAAAGAAGAGAAAATAACAAAAATCAACTACAAAAAAACAGAATGCATACTTTTTAATGTAATCAAAAATCGGATTAACCCTCATCAGGTAAACTGAAGATTATAGTAATGAGAGGAATGACAGGACAAAACTATGGATAATAGCAATAATGTTCTTTATACAACTATCCATAAACTTATATTTATACATAATAATTTGATAATGTAAAAAATTACAAAGGGCTTGTGGAAGTTAAAGTGTTTATATTTATACATAATAATTTGATAATGTAAAAAATTACAAAGGGCTTGGGGAAGTTAAAGTGTCTGCTATTTCTTCCCTTTCACATATGTAAGTACAAAAAAAATTCCCACAACCCAGAGTACCAAAAACCATGTTGGGTCAGTGTTAATTTAACCAGCTAGACATCATGGTTAGTCGTCATCTGACAAATATACTACTTCAGTCGGTGCACTTGTACCAACCGGGTTAACCGATGCACTACTTGCCATAAAGTCAGAGGTATTTAACTGGCCAGTGTTTGAAAGCCAATCTGTCAATGATGGTGAAGCTGCAGGTGGGCGGACAACATTCCTAACTAACTCCGGAGCAGATAATATGTTGGGAAGAGCATGCGAACCTCTGGAAGTTTCAGGACGAAGGGTACCATCACAGCAACCGGACTGATTTGTGGAAGATGGCAATGGAAGTGGAAAACATGGTACTGGTAGCGCGTTTGACTGTGTGGCCGAGGCATTTGTTGGTGGCAGAGTCGACATTCTATGGGGGCGAGGAGGAAGACTTGTTGTGGGTGCTGAACCACGGAGATGTGGAGGGCGGGCACGAATTTCAGCACCACCTAGTGGGTTTCCATAGGAATAGGAGAGGGAGCTCATCTGCGGGGGTCTTGCAATAGCACTTGGAAAGAGGGCAGACATAGCGCTAGCACCTTGCACTGGAGGAGGTATGCTGTGTGGGTTGATTACTGATGCAGGTACGGTTGTCTGCGGCTCAGGAGGTAAAGTCTGCAGGCTAGCAGCAGCAGTGCTGGCCGCAGACATTCTGGCAGCTAGCAAAGGCCTTTGTGCACTTTGTTGCATTGATAGCTGAATCGGCTGCTGCATGTAACCAACATTTATATCTGCCAATCAAAATATCAATTAGCAGCATATAGTTGAAGACAGATAATACAAACAAATCCAAAATGTAGGCATATGCAAATATTGCACGCAAGCATATATGGAATTCAAGAGAAAGTGCCAAGGACAATATTGGTCAAATTTTTTAGGCATGAAGATGAAAGTATTTTGCATATATAACCATCTTTACCGTAATCATAGTAGTTTTTTTAGTTTTTATTTATTTATTTGTGTGTGTGTGATTAGGAGATCATAGGTTTGAAATGCATAACTATACTCTGTTCCACTAGCAATTTAAAAGTTATCAAGGGGATGTGTACCTTGTTGTGTTCCTGGTATACCAGATGGCATAAATTCCATCCATGTAAACATGAATGCTTCAGCCAACATTTTATTCATGACTACTTTGTTACGAATATCATCAAACTCCTTCTTTTTGGAAAAAATTTCAGCATCAACCTCCCGTTGCTTAAGTTCATACTTAAGGAGAATTTGAGCAATCTCCTTGTCGCCCTCGGCTTTCAGATGCAGCTTCTGCTCAAGGAGATGATTATTTTAACAGAAATGCAACAACAAACAAAAAGTGATGAAAAGGAATTTTGTAATTTGAAACCAACCTTATCTTCAAAACCTTTACATGTTTGGTCAAATTCTTTACATAACCGTTCTAATTCCTTCTTAAGTGAGTCCTGGTGCTGAGGTGCAGGTAACCAGGGCATTGCAGGTACGACTTCTGCAGGACGGTTATTGAATTCAAAAGCAACAGAAGTCCTCAAGTTAGGAAAATGCATTCCTGATGCACCAATGGGTAGATTTGAGGAAGAAGTTGAAGGTTGTAAAACATATTGGTTTAACACGAGAGGAGGGTTCATAACAAGTTCTGTGGCCGGATTAAAGGTACAACCTTCACTACTTGGCAAATTTGCAACTTCCCCAACAAAAGGTACAGCAGCTGCATTAAAGCTACGAGGTGAATTAGAGGGCGGTGACAGATGCACTTGCACAGCAGGCTCAGAGACCATTGCTTCATGATCAGATTGGTAGGACAGTGCAGGTTCAACTGTTTGGGACACTGAACATACAACTGCAGTCGCATTCTGCTCATCACAAGGTGGGACATCTCCAAGTTGCATTGCACAGGATATAGATGGTAGAGTACATTCATCTCCGCGTGCCTGTAAAATTAAAGACTAGTAACCGACTGTTAAAACACTTCTTCCAATTCTTAAGTGCATTTCATTCACAGGATGTAATATAGAGAAGATAGAGAAGACGTATCGAGTATCAACAAAATAATATCAGAGACAAATGCCATCAAAAGCAGGGCATAGGACGTATCGAGTATCAACAAAATAATATCAGAGACAAATGCCATCAAAAGCAGAGAGACAAATGCCATCAAAAGCAGGGCATAGGAGGGTTTAACACGAGAGGAGGGTTCATAACAAGTTCTGTGGCCGGATTAAAGGTACAACCTTCACTACTTGGCAAATTTGCAACTTCCCCAACAAAAGGTACAGCAGCTGCATTAAAGCTACGAGGTGAATTAGAGGGCGGTGACAGATGCACTTGCACAGCAGGCTCAGAGACCATTGCTTCATGATCAGATTGGTAGGACAGTGCAGGTTCAACTGTTTGGGACACTGAACATACAACTGCAGTCGCATTCTGCTCATCACAAGGTGGGACATCTCCAAGTTGCATTGCACAGGATATAGATGGTAGAGTACATTCATCTCCGCGTGCCTGTAAAATTAAAGACTAGTAACCGACTGTTAAAACACTTCTTCCAATTCTTAAGTGCATTTCATTCACAGGATGTAATATAGAGAAGATAGAGAAGACGTATCGAGTATCAACAAAATAATATCAGAGACAAATGCCATCAAAAGCAGGGCATAGGACGTCCTCACAGCACAATGACATAAAGACAATAGTATATGAACAGTAATAGTACCTGATTAACTGACATTGGATCACCATCAATCATGGCTATGGCAGGATGCACACTAGGTGAGTTCCCCAGAGACAACTGCATAACTTCAGTTGCATTCTGCTCATCACGAGGTGGGACATCTCCAAGTTGCATTCCACAGGATATAGATGGTAGAGTATATTCATCTTTGCATGCCTGTAAAATTAAAGATCACTAACCGACTGTTAAAAGCACTTCTTCCAATTCGTAAGCCCATTTCATTCACAGGATGTAATACACAGAAGATAGAGAAGATGTATCGAGAGTCAACAAAATAATATCACGGACAAATGCCATCAAAAGTAGGGCATAGGAGGTCCTCACAGCACAATGACATAACGACAATAGTATATGAACAGTAATAGTACCTGATTAGCTGACATTAGATCACCATAAATCATGGCTATTGCGGGATGCACACTAGGTAAGTTCCCCAGAGACAACTCCTGAAGCGGAGAGTTCTGATCAAAAGCGTTATCCACTATATCCTGCTGGTTCATGCCAGTAATCTTATTTGATGCCACAGTCTGTGTTTCATTATTCTCTATGCTGGTTTGACTAACTTCCACTGCATCACAAGAAGCTTCAGGCACTAATGTATTTTCTCCACCTGGAACGTTTAATGTGGCTGTGTCTGGGATTTGTTCTGCAAGTGACATTTGAGTGACAGAACCAACGCTGTCACCATCACCAGAACTTACATTCTCAGGTACTCTTGGCTGCATCTTATTAATTGGGTCACTTACGGCAGTTGTAAAAGGGATTTGCTCTTCTGACAAAGTTCCATCTCCTGAGACTAGGTTTTCTAGACTATCACCAGAGCCTATCGTCTCTAGCACACCCAATGGAACCTCACTACAACCTATCGTCTCTGGCACTCTCAATTGAACCTCCTTTTTGGATACATTCACCTTGTCTTGATTTTGTTCTGCAAGTGACGGTTCAATGACAGAGCCAATGGTGTCACCATCACCGGAACTTACATTCTTAGGCACTCTCGGCTGCATCTGATTAATTGGGACATTTACAGCAGTTGTAGCAGGGATTTGATCTTCTGACAAATGTCCATCTTCTGAGACAAGGTTTTGTTGACCATCACCAGAACCTATCATCGCTGGCACTCCCAATTGAACCTCACTACAACCTATCGCCTCTGGCACTCTCAATTGAATCTCACTACAACCTATCGCCTCTGGCACTCTCAATTGAATCTCACTACAACCTATCGCCTCTGGCACTCTTAATTGAACCTCCTTTTCTGTCATATTCACCGTGTCTTGATTTTGTTCTGCAAGTTCACTACAACCTATCGTCTCTGGCACTCTCAATTGAACCTCTTCTAACACATTCACCGTGTCTTGATTTTGTTCTGCAAGTGACATTTGAGTGACAGAGCCAATAGTGTCACCATCACCAAGACCTACACTCTCAGGTACTCTCGGCTGCATCTCATTAACTGGGACATTTACGGCAGTTGTATTAGGGATTTGCTCTTCTGACGAAGGTCCATCTCCTGAGACAAGGTTTTCTAGACCATCACCAGAACCTATCGTCTCTGACACTACCAATGGAACCTCACTACAACCTATCATCTCTGGCACTCTCAATTGAATCTCCTTTTCTAACACATTCACCGTTAACCCATTACAGATTTGCTCTTCAGATGAAGGTGGATTCACATTTTCATGAGCAATATTATTAGCACCATCATTAGAACTATTGGTCTGAGGAAATCTCAATGTAACATCTCCTGTATTATCATTAGGTTCACTTGAAGGTCTATTGCCTGACAATTCATCAAGAGCCACCAAGGATTTCACCGCATCTATGCACTGAGTTTCTCTATCCTGAATTTTTCTCCTTGCAGCCAGATGTTCTAACTCAAGCTTCTTCAAGCGTGTGTCCATCTGCTGTTCGAGTTCTTCAAATTCTTTAGCAAAAGAAATTTCCACCGACTTAAGTTTATCCACTCTCATTGAAGTATTATTCTCCAAACATGAGCGGATAACAACAATTTGCATTTTCTTTTTTTCCTCTATGCGCGCCTTATCTGCCTCAAAACTACGCACTAATTCATTTTTTTCTTCCCGTTGCTTTTGAGTTAGTTTATTCAACTTCTTGTGGAATTTCTTCTGGATTGTCTTTATGCTCCTAGAAATATCATTCTGCTCCAATTTAGTTCCTAGAGCCAGTCCCGACATGGAAGATGGAGAATGTATTCCGTTCATATAGTCCTCTGGGGAATCACTAAGAGATAATATAGGAGCTCTAGGAGAGTCTGCAACCTTGAGTTTCCCAGTCCGATATAAAAACAATCGTTTCAAACACCTGAGCTTTGAGTACTCAAAATCTGCATCATCCAGCCTGATTCTTTTTCTGTTGGTAGGTATCACATCATGATCACTCTTGAGGCCTCTACCATCGGTTATCCTTCCACTGAATGGAGAATCTACCAACTCCGGCTCTTTTGCCTTCTCCACTTCAGAGCAATTCTCTGGTATTATTTCCAGTTCATCATCAGCATTTTCAGTTGTTCCACCATCGTCACCCAATTCCCCCAACCTCCTTTCAACACACTTGTTGATCCCATCGCCTCGGCAATTGTTGCTATCTCCCTGAGAGAACATATTCTCTCTTGCATGCTTCTCACTATCATCTAAACCTCCAATAGAAAAAAAAAAGGTTTTTACTTACAATAGCATATTCACTCTTGGATTTTAAATATGAAGAATGGCAACAGAACAATTATCGTGCTAAAGTTACTAATGCCGAACGTCAATAACTACAAAAGGATCAACAAACATAATCTTACATCAACATGGTTACATAAGCAAAAAGATATGCTTCTCATGAAAAAGATGGAACCATCGGAATGACTAAGAGATAAGAAACACAAATGTGGGCAATATAATACTCAATTACCTGATGCTTTAACCTTGTTCAGCTGTTTCTTGAAGAACATTGCCTTGTAGGATCGACCATCCAGTCTATTCCTTTTCAGTTCCGAATCGCGCCTTTCACTTCTACCAACTTCCTCAGTCTCTGATGTTAGCTCTTTTACACTCTTCTCCATTTTTCTCTTCTTCTGCTTCTTAGGAGATGAGCCTGAGTTTTGATCGCACTTCTTCAGAAGAGGACTCGGCGTGCATTTCTTCTCCACTCTCTCCGACGGGGTTTTCGGCGATTTCTTCTCAAGCCGCTCGGATTTCCTAACAGAAACGCTCGGCGAGGTCTGAGCCGTGACTTTCTTTGTCAATGTCTCCCTCGAAGATCTTCTCAACCCAGACGAATCAGATGTCGCCGCAGAGATTGAAGCAGCACTGAGTCCTCTGTCACCGCTCCGTTTCCCCTTCGAATTGCTATTCTCGTCGTCCTTGACTCTGCGACTAGGTCGAGTATCGCTTCCCATCCTTAAAAATCGCAAAATGCGTCAGATTAACAAAAGGTCCAAATATGGCGATTCAGAAACCCTAACCACAACCATCATATCATAACCACATGCATCCATACACATAGGAATATTCGAATTCAACCCAGAATCTCAGAGAAAAACAAAAACAAAATCCGTGCTTTGGAAGCCAAACGCCAAAATGCTACATCAAAATCGTCGTATTCTTGCTCCAAAACACGGGATTTGTCGCCGTCTCCAGCGCCGGAAAATGGAGTTAGCTCATCGGAGAAACGCGCAGGATTTGGGTAGTCGAGGGTTTCTTACTGTTAACTTTTTTTAAAAAAAAAAAACAATCAAGTGAAAAGTGAACTCACCTGCATGGAAACGTAGTTGCTGAAAAATTTCAACTTGAGATTAAAAGGTGTTAGGTCTTCTTCTTCTGGAGCTCCGTGGAAAAGCCAAAAAGAAGGGCTAAAAAAAAAAAAAAAAAAAAGGAAGAAGAAGAAGAAGAAAGAGGGACGTGGTTTAAGCGCGCCATTTAATGCTTTCGATGTCTCATATCAATAGTTTTGGTTTTTCACACATATGCCCCTGAACTTATATGGCTTTAACAACTTACTCCTTAAACTTTTAATTTTAATAAGTTGCACTCACAAGTTATAAAATTATTATAATATGTCTCATTTTAACGATAATTGTGTTAAATTAATGTTAAAAAAATACGTTCAATAAAAAATTTTAACATTCCAATTCAAATGTAATACAAATATTTCAATTTTTAAACTTTTAATCCCTTAAGTCTAATAAAAAATTTGAACAAATTTAGTAAAATTGAGTATATTGTAACAATTTTACAAGTTCAACAGTTATTAAATTTAAAAGTTTAAGGGGCAATTTACTAAACCATGATAAGTTCGGGATAATTGTGTTAAAACCACTTTCTTTTATTTGAGATAGTTTGGCCTCGTTCACTTCGCAGATTCGAGTTTTTAATTCGAGTTGAGACGTGACATTTTCTGAGAGCTTTTCACTGTAGCAGAAAATTTTGATATGACATTTTTTGAGAGCTTTTTACTATAAAAACCTAAAACTGAAAACTCAAATCAGTAAAATGAACGAGACCTTTATAATAGAAACAGTTATCTTTATTCTACAAGTAATGCTATAGAACATTAATAGTGCTACCACCATCAACTAAAAGATGAGTCTTGTGAGACTCATAAATAAAGCTCATTTTTTATTAAATGATGGTGTTTAACCGATGGTCTCCTTTTAACATTTTTCTTATTCTACCGATGTTTAGGTGATGGTGTTTGGTTGGCGTGAGGCATTCCCCATCCCTCTGTGGGGCCCACTCCCCCTGTGTGTTGCGGAGTTGTGGATCCACGGACGTGCTTAACTATGATCTAATATATATCTTTTGTTTGAATGGATGACATGGTGTAATAAGCAAAAGCAAAAACACATAATTATCAAATATATATATGTATATATTAGTAAACACATTCTTCCAATAATTAGAGCTCTTGCTATTGGCCATAACGTTTTTTATATGATATACATTACACAGTTTTATGAGAGCCTTGTGGAAGAACTGTTTCTTTTTTGGCCAAGTAGTCTCTCTCAAAAGTAAAGAAGAAAAATATTAGTATAAGAATAGGTATGCAGCTCTCATGCACCATAAAAGATAGAAGGGGGGTCATTGGATTATGTTTTAATGGAAACCGTGATCATATTGTATTCCAAGTCCAAAATATGGCTTTCTTAACAATAAATTTATGGTCGTTAATTAAATACATTAAGAACACATCGAGGAGCTCAAATATTTTCTTGTTTCACAAAATTCTGGGAATAATATAGATGTAGAAGGGAATCATCATGCAATGCCATGAGTGACCGTCATCTGCCGGCCACATGTCACCTAGCCCTTGGATTGTATGAAGATCCAATAGCCACAAGATACGTAAGGCTCGTTTAGTTTACTGATTTAAATTTTTAATTTGAGTTGAGATGTGATGTGAGAGATTTTTTACCAAAATCGTCGTATTCTTGCTCCAAAACACGGGATTTATCGCCGTCTCCAGCGCCGGAAAATGGAGTTAGCTCATCGGAGAAACGCGCGGGATTTGGGTAGTCGAGGGTTTCTTACTGTTAACTTTTTAAAAAAAAAAAAAAACAATCAAGTGAAAAGTGAACTCACCTGCATGGAAATGTAGTTGCTGAAAAATTTCAACTTGAGATTAAAAGGTGTTAGGTCTTCTTCTTCTGGAGCTCCGGGGAAAAGCCAAAAAGAAGGGCTAAAAAAAAAAAAAAAAAAGAAGAAGAAGAAAGAGGGACGTGGTTTAAGCGCGCCATTTAATGCTTTCGATGTCTCATATCAATAGTTTTGGTTTTTCACACATATGCCCCTGAACTTATATGGCTTTAACAACTTACTCCTTAAACTTTTAATTTTAATAAGTTGCACTCACAAGTTATAAAATTATTATAATATGTCTCATTTTAATGATAATTGTGTTAAATTAGTATTAAAAAAATACGTTCAATAAAAAATTTTAACATTCCAATTCAAATGTAACACAAATAATTCAATTTTTAAACTTTTAATCCCTTAAGTCTAATAAAAAATTTGAACAAATTTAGTAAAATTGAGTATATTGTAACAATTTTACAAGTTCAGCAGTTATTAAATTTAAAAGTTTAAGGGGCAATTTACTAAACCATGATAAGTTCGGGATAATTGTGTTAAAACCACTTTCTTTTATTTGAGATAGATGCCTCGTTCACTTCGCAGATTTGAGTTTTTAATTCGAGTTGAGACGTGACATTTTCTGAGAGCTTTTCACTGTAGCAGAAAATTTTGATGTGACATTTTTTGAGAGCTTTTTACTGTAAAAACCTAAAACTGAAAATTCGAATCGGTAAAATGAACGAGACCTTTATAATAGAAACATTTATCTTTATTCTACTAGTAATGCTATAGAACATTAATAGTGCTACCACCATCAACTAAAGGATGAGTCTCATAACGTGAGACTCATAAATAAAGCTCATTTTTTATTAAATGATGGTGTTTAACCGATGGTCTCCTTTTAACATTTTTCTTATTCTACCGATGTTTAGGTGATGGTGTTTGGTTGGCGTGAGGCATTCCCCATCCCTCTGTGGGGCCCACTCCTCCTGTGTGTTGCGGAGTTGTGGATCCACGGACGTGCTTAGCTATGATCTAATATATATCTTTTGTTTGAATGGATGACATGGTGTAATAAGCAAAAGCAATATTAGTAAACACATAATTATCAAATATATATATATATATATATTAGTAAACACATTCTTCCAATAATTAGAGCTCTTGCTATTGG